ATAAACGTCAAAGCGAAGACGTGGACAGATCTAGATCTTACCCGTGACATGCAAATCAAGGCGGAAGAATGAAACATTTACGGATGCTTGGCCATGGAACTTCCAGGTCTGCAGGGTTTGTATGTTGTAGTTAAAAAATGTTTCAATTTGGTTATTCTTTAAAAACACGAAATCGACGAAGGGTTGCGTGTAGAGGATGAAAATTGAACTTACCGCGCGTTGCAGTCTGACTCAATGCATAGATTGACTCCGTATTGTGCCGATGTTCGTTCGACTGCGGCTTCACGGTAGGATAAGGGATTAGAACACGGCAAGTCGGCAATGATGTTTCAGGACCATTTCGTTTTTCCAGTTGGTTGGATAAACCGCGGTTGAGCGTCGTGGTTGGATTTCAGAGATAGAATGTCGATCTGGCTAGGTGTCGACGAAGAAAGGGGAGGGTTTGAGAGAGTCGTTTTCGGCGTTTTGTTATAAACACACTTAAATTGGGTTTACATGGATTATTGGGCTCCTTTCGCGGCCCGTTTAGTTGCTGAACACGGAGAACGCATGGGCTGCTCTGAATGGGCCGTTCAAATTTTTTTGTGTTTCTTCTGTTTTGATGAATGCCCAAATCTCTGGATTTAAGTTATTAGTTTTAAGTTTTAGATTAAAACTATAAACTTTTATTTTATAAATTATAGCTGTGCGCAGTAAATTTAAATATCGTGTTCAAGTAATTTGCTTTTAAATTACTTTGATGCACAATGTCTATTACGGGTTCAAGTAATACTGCAACAGTGTGCCTTTGATGCACAATGTCTATTTTATAATTTAAGAGTGACTTAACATACGTTTATGTATTTGCACCTCCTTATTTTGCCTGTTGACATGGGCAATTCATCTAAAATATGCAATTTATATAAATTTATAGTCATCATATTACTTACTCATTATAAATAATTTGAGATTTTTCTAAAATATTACTAATAAAAAAGTCATTGACAAAAATATGACTTAATCATTTTTTGTAATTTTAATTGCATTCAAAGTTTACATCATAATCACTACATTATAATAACTTTAAACGCAATTGTAGTCAGTAAAAGTTACCAAATCATATTATTACCACTTTTCTATGAGTAATATTAGTGATTATTTTTGTAAATAATTTACCTCCGATTAATATATATAAACATGTCAAAGTGGAAATTTTCATTTATGTATGAATCTAAACGATTCAATAAAAATTACCTTTTTTGCTTCGAATTTGAGTAAAATTACACCAACTCTGCATCGTGCGGGTGTTATACAAGAAATCTATCAAAAAGAACTACTATATATATATCAGGACAATGTGGTTAGATTGACTGTGTTTCTGGATGATGGCGTTAAGGGTGGGACCTGTCCGGTCTCTATTGGTTTTTCGATGATATAAAAAATTATTCATAAGATATCGATTATGAAAACCAGATATCGAAAAAATTCATTTACATTTAGTTCGAATCATCTTTCGTTAGCTCGGGTTTGGTCTAGGATCGAATAGAGCCGTTTAAGGTCCAATTGAAGAATTAACATATTTGAGTATGGTTTAATAATGTCATGACACACTTTCACACATTTGCACATCCCCCTGAATTGCCAAGTTACCAGGGCAATTCGTGTAAAAAATGCAATTCGTACAAATGCATAGTCACCATATTACTTGAGATGTTTATACTTAGACTTATTTCAGTCTCAGACCAAACCAAACTTAGACCAAACCAAACTTAAACAAACCAAATAAGACCATAATTGGATATTAGACATAACACATTTTCACATATGTGCACACCCCCCTGATTTGCCAGGTTACATCAGCAATTCATCTAAATAATGCAAATCGTATAGATAAAGACATAACACATTTTCACATATCTGCACACCCCCTGATTTGCCAGGTTACTTCAGCAATTCGTCTACATCAGCAATTCATCTAAATAATGCAATTCGTATAGTAGATAAAGACATCACACATTTTCAATTTTCAAATATTTGCACACCCCCTGATTTGCCAAGTTACATCAGCAATTCATCTAAATAATGCAATTCGTATAGATAAAGAATAACACATTTTCACATATGTGCACCCCCCCTGATTTGCCAGGTTACATCAGCAATTCGTCTAAATAATGGAATTCTTATAGATAAAGACATAACACATTTTCACATATCTGCACCGCCCTGATTTGCCAGGTTACATCAGCAATTCGTCTAAATAATGCAATTTGTATAGATAAAGACATAACACATTTTCACATATCTGCACACCCCCCTGATTTGCCAGGTTACATCAGCAATTCGTCTAAACAAGACTCAGAATGTTGTATTCAAAAAGTGTTCAACAATGTTTAGGGTTACATGAAATGTATATTTTTGTTGGATGTTTTTGATCTTTTAAGTAATGCTTAGTGCTCTCTTTTTAACTATAATATATATTTTAAGTGTGTTTTGTTTATTGCTTGATGTTATATCAATATTCCATGGAGATAGATACTTCCATCAATTGATAGTGTAATTTGAATTAGTGAACACAAACAAATTTGAGGAAAATTCTGAGACCGTGCATCGCACGGGTGAGTTTACTAGTTTTAAAGAAAATAACAGTATGTAGTATTAGTTATACAATAAGTCGATGTCTAAATTTATTGGATATGTTTTTCTGTACATTCAAATTATGTATCTACTAATTGGAAAATGAAGTGAGTTAGTTTTATCATCCAATAATTAGGTGGCACGTTGGAATATACAAAAAAAAACTCTATCAAAATAATGTATACTTAGACTTTTTTTTTACCAAATGTATACTTAGACTTGGTCTTAGTTATATACAAGGTCGTCTCAATTCTCAAATTGTAGGAGGACCTAATACTAATAACTACAACTAGGCTTTATGCAATAAAATCTTGCACAATTTTCAAAAGGAATTATATTTTAATTATAAATAAATACTATGCAAGTACGTATTGCTTTAAACTTTCTGTATTTTAAAATTTAAACAATACTAAAATAGGAATCATTAAACAAATAAAACAGCATTTTGTATAATATATAGAGTTTATTTTTAAAATTTCTGGTTTTTAAAATCAGGAGGCCATGTGTTGAAGTGCTTCTTGCACACTCCAATATATTTTAGGGAAAGTTCCCGAAATGGGACTAAAAAAGTTCGAAAATTCCAAAATTGGACTGTCATGTTTTTATTCCCAAAATAGGACTAATTACTGCCAAATTTGGAAAATACTGCCATGTTTGAAGTCTGGTACTGCCAAAACATGGCAGTAATTAGTCCTATTTTGGGAATAAAAACATGGAAGTCTTATTTTGGAATTTTCAAACTTTTTTAGTCTTATTTTGGGTAATATCTCTATATTTTATATGTAAAAGTTATGTGTTTTGTAAAAAGAAAAATTGATTGATAAGATTATATGGGTTCTAAATGTCTTAGTTTTCCCTAGAATAATAGGTCTATTTCAGCGATTTGAACAAAAAGAGATTATTTTACAATACACAATGAATTGGGGTGTTTTTTGTAGTGTAATACTCAATAGAATAGATCGAAGCTCAATAAATGTGAACTTTTATAATGTTGTAGCTTTGGTCGACTCGTATCTAAATCTGGGTGCATATGAGCATATATGATCACTTGTAAAAATAACAACCGTTGTAGTTGGGAACCTTGTGGCTATGCCAAGTTGCAATCCTAACCCAATTAGTTCAACATCACAATTTAAAAAAATCATTGAGAAGCACCTCAAATGGTGGTGGTCGGATGACGGTTCAGCCAAGCTTGATAGAAACATTACTACTTCCAATAGTATTATAGAGTAGTACGAGTGTTTAGCAATTAGCATTTATGTATAAGGATGGACAATCATGGAAAAGTGGTGGATTAAGGATGTTTTTACTTGGACTGTAATTTGTCTCAGACCAGATCAGACCAAACATGGATTGTTATAAAAATACAAAGAAACCAGAACAGACCAGACCAGAGCAGACCAGATCAACAAATTACAGTCCAATTAAAAACATCATTGGATGCAACTTAGTGCTACAACGATATAATTGTGTTCAAAGTTTACATCATATTGACTATATATAAGTCATTACAATGTAAATTTTGACCACAATTATAGTCATTAATATAGTTACTAAGTCACATTTTTGTCCATGACTTTTTATTAGTAATATTTATATAAAAAAATCTTTTCTAAAATGTATATGCACTTACCGTGATTTTGTGTGGCTCACATAGAATGGCTCAAAATATGAGAGTGAAAAGAATCTTCAAATTTATAGTTTAGCTCTTAAACGTTTTCAACTTATTGTCTATTGAAGAGGGAATATGCATCCTTATCCACACTAGTCTAAGTACGGAGTGCGCAACGATAACAACAAATATGTAGAAGACTTAAAGTATGGAACGAGTAATAATAGTCTAAAGTACGTTGGGCAATTGCGGGCTAATTAGGGGCTATGAGTCACTTTTATATGTTTATTATACATAAAAGATTGATATTTGCACTTCTCGTGATACAGATTTCACATAAGTCAAAAGGTACAAATGGATTAGCACTAGCGGTACGGTTTCCTACAAGTGCTGTCGATACTATGATTTGAGACAATATATTACGTCTATGTTTGTATCCCTAATATAGTAATATATTCTTTCATAGAAAACCAGCTTATGAAGCAATTTTGGCATTTATTTTTATGTGATGTGAGTAGCTTTTTTTGGTTTATGATAGATTGATGGTTGGTATTGTTGAGGTTAAATTTCTCATGGCCAACACAGTTCTTTAGGTTTTGTTGGACCTTTTAGGTGTCTGTGTATTTATTGGATGACTAATAGGCAATAATAGCAACCAAGACGTACAATTAGAAAGATGGTAAAATGCATCAAGCTCCATTCAATGATGGTATAATGATGATTACATTCAGTTGACCTTCAACATTCAGTTGAGAACGATTCGGGCTGAAGAAGTCAAGGAGGCAGTATTTTCTATGTATCCAGATAAGTCGCCAGGGCCGGACCGCATGAGCCCAAGATTCTTTCAACACTTCTGGGATGTGATTGGACCGGATGTGGTGGACTACTGCAGAACTGCCTTTGAATCAGGAAGGCTACCCGATAAGGTAAATCACACTCATATTGTCTTAATTCCTAAAAAAGATAAGCTGGAGGTCATAGGAGATTGGAGACCGATAGCACTTTGTAATGTGATATATAAGATCTATTCTAAAGTGCTCGCAAACCGAATGAAATGGCTTTTATATCATTGTATATCCGAATTTCAAAGTGCCTTTATTCCCGGAAGGTCTATAGTTGATAACATTATGGTTGCTTTCGAAGCTCAACATTACTTGCGTAGAAAAAGACAGGGTAAAACAGGGTTTGCGGCTCTGAAGTTAGATATGAGTAAGGCATATGACCGAGTTGAATGGGAGTTTTTAGAGGGGATGATGAGACGTCTTGGGTTTGCGGAGAGATGGGTGAGGATAATTTTGGAGTGTGTTTCCTCAGTATCTTACTCAATCCCCTTTGATGCTACGGAGTTGGGCCCGATTTATCCTACTAGGGGTCTTCGTCAAGGTGACCCGTTATCACCGTATCTCTGTCTTCTGATAGCGGAAGGCTTAAGTGCTCTTATTAGCAAACATGAGGCTTGCAGTAGGATTCATGGCATGGCAGTGGTGCGAAGAGCACCGCGAATTTCCCATTTATTTTTTGCTGATGATCAGTTCGTATACCATGCAACCGTCCCACGGTGTGCATGGTATACCTGGGAGAGCGAAGAAGCAGTTCATATATTTTGGCTTTGTTATTTTTTATTTCTCCTTTTTTTTTAAAAATGTTAATAATTTTTTTATTTTTGATCCGATTTTTATAAAATTTATATCAAAATTTTTTATTTTTCATGATCTTTCAAATGAGACCAATATTGCCTATGTAATTTTAACATATTAACATTTGCGTGTAAAAATATGTAACTTTACGTGTTAAAATATGTAACTCACGCTCAGTCAGGCCAAATGCAACTCGTGTGTATAAATATGTAACTCTACGTGTAAAAATATGTAACTTTACGTAAAAAATATGTAACTCGCGTTGAGACAAGTCAAATGCAACTCATGTGTATAAATATGTAACTCGCGTGTATAAATATATAACTTTACGTGTAAAAATATGTAACTTTACGTGTAAATATATGTAACTCGCGTTCAGGCAGGTCAAATGCAACTCGTGTGTATATACATGTAACTCGCGTGTAGAAATATGTAACTTTGCGTGTAAAAATATGTAACTCACATGTATAAATACATAATACAATAAATTTTTTATATACACAATTTTAAGATAAATTGGGGATTACACAATTATTTTTCTGTATTAAATTTAGTTCGATTTTCCTTATAATCCAATACTCATTAATATAATAGTTCGATAATTTCTTAAAATTACATAAGCAATATTGGTCTCATTTGAAAGATCATGAAAAATAAAAAATATTGATATAAATTTTATAAAAATCGGATCAAAAATAAAAAAGTTATTACCATTTCTTAACAACAAAAGCAATAAAAAATAAAGAAACCAGGCACAATACTCCGTCATTTTGCAACCGGACGCACGATATAATTTGCGGCTGATGATAGTTTGCTTTTTTTTTCAGGCCTCACAAGCCGAAGCTTTGACCATACGGGGGATTTTACAAGCGTATGAATCAGCCTCCGGTCAAATGATAAATTTCAATAAATCTAAATTCTTTTTTAGTGCCAATGTGACAGACTATGTTAAGAAGGAGCAGACAGATTCGTTGCAAGTTGGATCTGCCGGGGAGGAGGAGAGGTACTTGGGCTTACCGGCGATGTTTGGGAAAGGTAAAAGGGAGATCCTTGGGTATTTGAGGAATCGGGTAATTAAAAAACTCCAGAATTGGAATAAGAGATTTCTTTCGAAGGCTGGGAGGGAGATTCTTTTGAAAACAGTTATTCAGGCCATGCCGACTTACGCAATGAATGTTTTCTTTTTACCCGTTGACCTCTGTCGAGAAATTGAAGTAATAATGAATGGGAATTGGTGGAATGGTCATGCTGGGAAAGGGATTCGCTGGAGGAGCTGGGATTTTAAGTGTAGACCAAAAACAGTAGTGGGATGGGATTCAGGAAGGTCAGGGAGGGCAGCGACCTGGTGCAGGGAGGCGGAAAGTTAACGTGGATGCCTCAACCGGGGGAGAGCGATGCGGGTTTGGATGGGTTGTAAGAGATGCTATGGAATATTTTTGGCAAGTGGATGTACTTTGGGGACCGGTAAATTTACCCCTCTCGAAGCTGAACTTATGGGTGTGAGGGAAGCTCTCAGTTGGCTTAAGGCTCAACAATGGGATTTTATTGATGTGTAATCTTATTCTCTTCTAGCTATTCAAGAAATTCAAAGGGGTTCGAGTTTATCTTATTCTGGAATTTTAGCCGAGGATATACGAGATTTGATGGCTAACTTTGTTAGTATTATTTTTTCTCATGTTCGACGATCAGCGAACCGAGCAGCTCATGCGATGGCTAAGGCAGCGGGTTCTTTGTCTGATAGTCATATTTGGTTTTTTAGTTCCCCTCCTTTTGTTATTGATGTACTTGATTATGATTTGATTAATAGCAATTAATTTTATTTTCCGCAAAAAAAAAAATGATTATTACATCACACCCTTATTGAGTTTGAGCCACCAATTTCTAGTTCTAAACTGAGACTTTACCGAAGAGAGTAAAGAAAAGTTAAGTTATTGAATGCACATTTTTTGTATCCCTTCCAATGAAATAAAAGTGACATTTTATACTACAAAATAATCAGTGAAAGGGGCGACGTGGCAAACCCTTGATGGCTAACCTCTAACTACCGATTAGCTAAAAGAGAGAAAACTTCTAGTGTCGTGTCATTCCCCACTCGATCCTCCCCGAGTGAGGCATATCGAGCGAGACAGGTACCTTTGGCCAAGCCCGATCATAACTGAAGGCAAGCGCTGGGCCTATTGTGCTGATTGGACTGTTGGGAGTATTTGGGCCTGGCCGCTACTGACCCAATAAGACCATAACAGGTTACTTAATCTTGTATTGGCGTCTTAAATATGCAACTTTAAATGTTAAACAAAAATATAATGTTAATTATGATATTTGTATAGTCCGTTTAATATATCAAGTTTATACTTTTATGATTTTTCATTAAGGAACATTTTAATATAAATTTCATATTTAATACTCCCTCCGTCCGTTAAAACTTTGTCAACTTTGTTTTTTTATTGTCCCACTAAAATTTCCATTTTTCTTTTAAGTAAAGAATTTGTGGTTCTAGTTAATTCTCTCCTCTGTACAAACCTCAAACACACGGTTTTTACTTTATTAATCTCTGTGCCGATCAAACTTGACGAAATTTTAAGGGACTAAGGGAGTATAATTTTGTGTTAAAAAATATAATTGATCAAAGTTGAGTGTCTTTAACTAAGAAAAGTCAATTTGACAAACCTTTTCGGGTCGGGAGGAGTATCTCATACTATCGTATGTAACCACAATAATTTAATATTATCATCAAATAAGTATAAATGAAAAGCTTTTGTTGAGGGGCGTACTTATACTCTCTTCGTTCCATAAAACTTTGTCAAATTTGATCAGAACGAGAAATAATAAAGTAAAAACTATGTGATTGAGACTTGTGCAAAGTAGATATCAATAACATGAACCACAAAATAATTGATTAAAAGAGAAAGCGACAAAATTATTAAGAACATCCTTAAAAAGAAACATGACAAAGTTTTAAGGGACGAATGAAGTACTATACCGTATTAGTATGCCAGATTTTTTCCATCGGTATTAAAATTAACCAATTAAAGTAGTAATTCAAATATGGATTTTTGTATCACTTTGATCCTAAGTTACATATTTTATCCCAGAAGGATAGTTTTGGTCAATATTATATGGAGTTGTACAATAAATAAAAAAGTAGAAAAAAAGCAAAGCATTAATTACTTTATCCAAAAAGAAGTCGTATTTTAGTAAATATATACTACAAGTTTTTATATTTAGTCAATCCAATCATCAACTTTACTAATAAAAAAAGAAATTTGACATTTAAAAGTTAAAACTAACTTCTCTTCTTTTTTTGACAAAAAAATTCAAAACATCACTACTACCAATAATTGGGCAATATTTAGAGCTTCAATCAATGAGAAAGTGAGAATATATGTGAGGAATGAAAAAATGCATATACTAAATCTAAAAAAGCAGATGCTACATACTCCAAACATCCCTTACAACATTGTCATTTTTGAATTGTTTTTGTCAACTATGTCCAATTTTGGTCAATTATATTTTTGTATGGGAAGTTATTTATAATATAAAAATGATATGCGTATGAAAATATTCTTTATTAAAAGTATTTTGTATAAAATTTATAAATTCTAAAATATTATACTAATAAAAATATTACCCAACCTTTAGCACAATCAACTTGAAAAATCAAAGATAAAAAAAATTAAGGGACATAGGTAGAACTATATTAAGCATTTTGATGAAACAAATAAATAAATCAAAAGTTATTTATTCTATTTATTATGCGATAAGCTGAATAAGCCACCAAATGACATGGGCACGCTCCTAAAGATAGAGGAAAATTACATTTGTACACAAAATTAGTATACAAAGTGTACACACACCTAATCGCATGTGTGCAATTTGGGTACAAATCTGTGTATAACAAGAAGATAGAGACAATAAGAGAGACAACTTTTAAATGGTATTAACTTTAAACAAATCAACAATAATACACAGTTCAAGTTAACCCATAAAAAGAACTTACAAAGTTACATTTAACACTTGGGAAATGAAATAAATGGAAGCATTCAATCAAAATCCCAGTAACCTCATGCACGCTGTAAGAACCCTATTGCCTTTCTTCTTCTTCTTTTCTGTTATTTTCTGTGAATCCTTAAGCTGAGGGCCATCCCCACCACCATGCTCTGCCCCAATAATGAAATGCTGGTGATGGATCCTGCAATAGCCTCCACCAGATGCTGATGAAACTGATTTTCTCCTCTTGCTGAACGACGTCTTTCCGGCTGCACTTTCGCTAAAAATGCTATTCTCATCAGCCTTATTCGTGGCAGCGGATTGCTGTAAATGAATTGAAGCCGAAACCGATCGGCTCCGGCTTAAGATTACGCCGAATATCTCTCCTTCGCCGCCGTGTTCTGCTTCTTCTTCTTCAGGGATACGGCGGGGTTTTTCTACAGTTTCTTTCATTTTCTTTTCTGATCTTAGAACTGTTGGAAGGGCCCGTTGGAAAGGGTGTCTGTTTATAAAGTGGGAAAGAATCAGAGAATGTGGTACAGAGCAGAGAAGTCAAGCCTGTTATTGGTGACAGTTGGGAGATGGATGCTTTAGTCAATAGATTCAAGACGTAATCATGCTCAAGTATGGTTTCCTTATTTAAAATAAGGTGACACTTTATGGGGTACGGTATATACCATTCATTTGATTGAACCACATCACTTTATGATTTTTAATTTAGATTTAAATAATTCAACTGTTACATTCTCATTGGTCCATGTGGACAAAAGTGTGGTACTTTATGGGTATCATAGAATTTACCTTAAAATAAACATCCTCGAGTGTTCTCCTAAGCTAGAGTTTTAGGTCTCTTTCATTTGAGTTGCTTTCGAGTATAATTTCTTTTTGAAATTTTGTGAACATATTCTCCATGAAGTGATTATGTTCACAAAATTTCAACTTACAATTCAAACTTGGAAGTCAGTTAACTAAACTATTGACAAAAAGTGCATGTTATATCTATAAAACACTGCCCAATTATAATAAAAAAATAAAAAAATAAAAAATTAGTTGACTTCCCGGTTATATTTTAAACTGAAATTTGATAGATATAATATACACTTCAAGAAGAACATTCTTACAAAATTTCATCAAAAAATTCAACTTGGAAGCACCTCAAATAAAAGAGGCCTAAAATTTTAACCTTTAGACCTACCTTACATGAACATTTTCCTAACTATGAGAGGATATAAATTGTACTTCAATCACAAAATAATATATAGCGAGTGAGACTCTGACACAAGTACCAGTTCGTGCACATGTTTTATGTATTTTTTACATAATATCCTTTCATTGTAGTTGTTAGGATTCGAATCTGAAATTTACTTTTTATGACACCCTCTATCTACTAGTTGAGCTACGTCCACTGAGCTTATTTAAATAGTCACTTTTTTTATCCTCGATCACCGGCTACAGGTCATTAGGTCTTTTGATAATTTTCAGTCAATCCGTTATTTATAGACTGATTTTTTTACATTTTGTGAGCTGCATATAGTATTTCATACTCCTCCATTTCAGTTTGTTCGACATAGTTTGATTTGTCAACATTTATGGAAAACATTTACTAAGGGGTAAATTTTATTGTTTGGGCACTATTTGGACACTGTTTGGCACTGTTTTACACTGTTTGACACTGTTTGACACTATTTGACACTGTTTTGTTTTTAACAAAACAGTGTCAAACAAACTGGAATGGAGGGAGTAATAATTACTATGTATTTAGTTTGATTTTTACGACAAAACCAAACATAAATGAATATATGGAGTAATATTTGTAACTTTTGTTTTTCTTTCTTTAGTATTTTCCAAGTCCATAGAAATCCAAAAGAGCGGGTTATAAAATTTTGATACGTTCATCTAGGGATGGATTGGGACAGGCAGGGGCGGAACCAGCCTAGTGCCCGGAGGTGCTCGTGCCCCTGCAATGATTTTTTTAATAATATATGTGTGTGTGTTAATATTTACTAGTAATTAGTTGAGCCCCTCCATCTCAATCCCAAAAACCCTTTACCTTAGCCTTTTCCTTATGCCAGCCCAATCCCAAAAACCCTTCCTTGGGGCAGCCCGCAGCCCAACTCCACAAAAGCCAAAACGCCAAGACACCAAGTCCCAACTCAAGTGGTCAAGCCCATGCCCTGCGTAACAAAGTTCAAGCTACAACGACGGAAACTGAAAGCGAGTCAGCGTTCAAGGCTTCAAGCTACTGCATTCAAGCTACAACGCCAGCAAATCACGACAGTGAGTCAGCGAGTAGGAACTAGAATAGCGAATAGCGACTGCGTCTCTAGACTCCTGGACGGCTGGACTCCTGGTAAGCCTTTTAATGCCTTAACCTAATTATTTTTCTG